AGGAAGGAGCAGTTAAATCCATTGTGTTGCTGTAGCTGGCATGCTCTGATCCTACAACACGGGTGAAAAATTGCTGCTGTTTCTCAGTCAGAAGGATAATGAGAGAATGTTGAGCCACCAAAATGCTTAATGTACACAAAACAACCAGATTTTATATTATGTTGTGCCACCTTTCAAAATGAAATACAGATTCAACTTTGTTTAAGACTTGCAAGGTGATCAATGCAAAAATGCCTTTGTACCCTGTGCACAAAAAGCATTTATTTATTTGGACATTCATTGATGTAGACAGCTCTAAACTAGGCCTGCTGTGATTTATTTTTTTTAATGTTATTTTTCATCGAAAAACAGATTTTTGGATATTCTGAGCTCAGTTTTGACCACGAGCATGTTTTTTTAATGGTCAGTCATTTAGACAATGTAAAAGTGAGCTCTGAATGATTTACCCTGATAGGTAAATTCTCTGACTCAAAGAAGGAAGATTATAAATTGGGCTAGTTACATTATTAAATTAAATTGGGTTAATTATTAATTAATAATGGCCATAGACAGAGAGCCATAGACAACCAACAGCCACAAGCCAGCTTTGTTTTTAACGTGCAGAATCAGTGTAAATGGGTGGATCTTAATGAGGTGCCTGCCTTGGTTGAATTTTAGTTGAAGTTTTAGTTCATTCCATAGAAAACTGAAGTGTTGGAGTCACTGAAGCAGAATGCCCTCCTCCTGAAAATGGAGTGATTTACATTTAGCATCTGTTTTGGGCTGAGAGTGGGAATTGGCTTTGTAATTTCTTCTGTCATGCCACTGTCAGAAAATTAAGCTGTTTACGCTAGACTATGGAAGGTTAATGGCTGCTCTAGCAAAGGTCAAGTGGTCATTTTAAAGGGAGCCTGTGCTGAATAATCGAAAATGGCAGAGGGATAAGGCATAAAATCTTAACTGACTGCTCATCCTACTTTTTTTACCCTGTCATGTAGAAACCTGTCTTTGCTCTGATCAGAAAAGCTTGGTAGACCTGTGTTAGTATGAACAGGTATTCCAGATAAACACTGTAAAGGTACTAACTGATTTTAGGAGCTCTACGGCAATAGGATCATTTTTAGAAGCAGCAAAATTTAGCTGGGAGTGCTTTCTTTGTCCTGATGAGCACTGCCTTGGCTTTTCTCATGTGGGGGGCTGGTGATGAGCAGTGATGGCCAACTATTCTTGGTCCCCTTCCAGATGTACTGAAGAAGGTGTCAGAGCTGCTGGCTGGTGCCAGCCCTCATCCTGTATCTGCCAAGACATCCCTGTGGCTGATTAAAGGAAGAGAGATGTAACTGCTGCTCTTTCTGAGCAGTCTGTGCTCTGTGCAGCAAAATACAGGCCAAGTTCATCCTTGATATGAGCTAGTTGAAAACCCTTTGAACCAGGAGAGTTGTGTCCCAGATGCCAGATGGGCATCCGCTCCGAGGTCTTTTCCCCAGGCATCACACAGTGCTGAGCCTGTTCTTTACTTAATTCCTGGTGTTAAATTAAGGCTCCAGAGTTTCTGATGACTTGACTTTTTGTTGCAGCCATATGGACGCCTGTATAGGCACAGAAATAATAAAATGTGGTTTCTTTGTATTTAACTGCCAACATTTTCATTTCATTGCAACTTTATCACTTTCGTTTCCAGACGCTACTATAAAGAAACTGATGGTCTGAAACTTGATGTTGGAGCATATATGAAGGCATTAGAGGTATTTTATAGCTTTCATTATGCTTACTTGCTCTGTGCACCTTGTTAAAAGAGTAACTTGTATAAATACGGGTCACCTTCTGTCATTACTCATCTTGCTGGAGGAAGTTGCCACAGATTAAAACTCTTTTGCTGCATTCTAAAGACAGGTGGATTCATTTGTTTTCTTGCTTTGTTCATTTTTTAAAATTTTATTTAAAAAGTGAACTTTTACCATTGGGGTACCTTTATTGGAAGTGAGGCCCTTGAAAGAAGGAGTCAGAAAAGTAAAGCATGGAATATTGTCTGCAGGATATCCAAGAAAAACTGAAGGTCCATTTTATGTTTGGTATAGAGCTGATAGCAGGCACATTAAGAGTTCACAGCAAAAGGTTTTCATTCAGCAGG